TTTTTTTATATTTTAAGTTGAAGAACAGTAACAGAAACACCTTATCACCAATCCATAAGGTTCTACATGCTGATCTCTAACCTCACTAATGACCACCACACCAAAATTACACTTTGTATTTAATATGTATATGCATAAAAAGAGACTATATTCTTCCTTGTATTTTTGCTTCTTGATTTTTCTAGATTAGCAAGACTTTTTAAAATTTCAATTAAGCAAATATTTCTGGAATGACATACCAGCTTCCATTAGGCCCTAGGAATAGCAGATGGGATATAAACATATCATTGTCATATATAAAAATACATATAAGTTTCTAAATATATGATAATAAATTTGATAAATGCCATGTTAGCAATGTGAAAAATGTGCAGTGGGATACCTGAAGAGAAACAGGTAATCAAAAATAGAATCAATCATGTTAAAGAAAGGACAAAATTATCTTTCCATTCTCTCTATAAAAATTACAAAATATCAAAATATGCAAAGATAATTATTGAGAGCACAGCCAAAAAATGTAAAAAACCAAGTATCATTGAGGTGTCTCTATAGTTAATTTTTAATAATGTTGTTATTTTTCTGGATTTGAGGATATCTGTGGTATTCCTTAGTTTTAAAATTTGCAGGTAGTTGTATTTTTCATTTCACATAAGTATTCGCTTTTATGCCCAATTGTGTGTGTTTTTTTTCTTTAAAGCTATCCTCCATGTTGGGTACTTTTTAGTGTCACACAATGTGAGCCCACCTGAATGCCTACAGTTTGCTCAACACTGTTCTGGGAGCTAAGGGTACATCAGTGAACAGAAGGGAGACAAATAACTCTTTTGTAAAGCTTACACTTCAATTGGAAGAAACAACAAAACAAAACAGTGAACAAGTAAGTTATCTGTTAGGAGGTGAGTGCTAAGGAAAACAATTGAGGAGGGTCAGCAGGTGAGAGGGCAGGGTAGGGAGCCAGGGTGAGACTGCAGTTTTAAGCAGGGTGGTGGGGTAGGCCTAAAAGAGAGGGCACCTCTTAGCAAAGACTTGAAAGAACTGGTTCTTGGTAACACCAGTGGTAGTCTAGTAGCCTGGTAGTATAGTAGTGGTTCATTATCCCTACTTGGGTGCTGTTTTAGAATATTTGAAGTACAATAATGCCAAAGATTCTGTAGTAGGAAGTAAAGCAGAAACAGTTGGACCAGGTTTCAGAACTGAACAACTTTGGGGTCACCAATCTTAGATAATTGGTGCTAAACAAAACAGGGACACTAAAAGCATCATTGGGAATTAATAATATGGGGATGATCACATTTGCCAACATTCTAGGTGAGATCTCCAAGGGTTATGGCTCTAGAGGAGACTAGTCTGATAAACTGTTGAATTTTGCATTCCTGAGCAGGGTGAGGCAATTATTGAACTGTACAGGAAGTGTTCAGGGCAATAGAAGGCTGAATACTGTTACTAAGAATTGTTCTTTTTCTATCCTTCTCATCCATGTACCATTTTATCCATTCATTTATCGATTTATTTATTTGGTAATGGGGATTGAATCAGGGGCCCTTAACTACTGAGCCACATCTCCAGCCCTTTTTTCATTTCTCATTTTGAGACAGGTTCTTACTGAGTTGCTTAGGGCCTTGCTAAGTTGCTGAGGCTGACTTTGAGTGTGGGATCCTCCTGCCTCAGGCATATGCCACAGCAACCAGCAGCATTCCATCTTTTCTCTAAATAAATCACAACAACAACAAAAATAATTAAATTTGCCTTACAAATTTAAAAAAAGTGAGAAGAGGGCTATGTGAACATGTTAAACCTCCCCAGAGCACCGCATGCTCTTTCACAGAGACAGCTATAGTGTGAGTATAAAGAGAAGGAGGAGTCAGAACTGGGCTTGGGCCTGGCTCTACCACTTAGTTTATTCGCCTTGGACAAATCAAAGGTTAAAAATTAAATTTTATCATCTACAAAATGGGGATGAGAAGAAGTTTCTTTTATGATCATTAACTGGGATAATGATGGTTAAAGTAATTTCTTATTTAATAAAGAATCTTACATATATTTGGCATGAAACTAAAGCTACAAGTTAGTCCCTAGTAGCTATGTAAGAATAGCTATGAAGTATATAAAAATTTAAGTCATGATTACCAATAGTTCAGGCTGTGCAACATCCTTTAAAAATCTAAATTTATACTTTATTCTTTAACTTGTGCCTTTGTATTATACTTGCTAGTCACAGTTCCTTTGTCTCGTACCCATTTTGCTCTCATTTGCATTGCATTTAGCTTTTTTCCACCCTTTCAACCCTCCTGTGCAGCTCAATCACATACTATTTCTATACTACTTATTTACATAAGCTTGTGCTAAAATACATTCAAGCAAGTACTGCTACAGTGATTTACTGGAAAATTGTTCGTGTTTAAAATCTCAGTCTATAGTTCATAGCTTTAAGAAAGCATTCTAGTGCTGGGGTGTGACTCAGCGGTAGAGCACTTGCCTAACATAGGTGAGGCCCTGGGTTCAATCCTCAGCACTTTATTAAAAAAACAAAACAAACAAACAACTCCACAACAAGTAAAGATTAAATTCTAAAGAAAAGAAAGCATTCTAATTTATTATTATTTTTATTAGAGTATTATAATTATACATAGTATTTGAGTTCTCTTGGACAAAATCATACATGCCCCCAAAGCATTCTAACTTAAAGACTTTTGAACATCTTTCACTGGGACATTAGAACAAGAGACAAAAATCCATCTGTATCTCAAAAGCTGAATACACAGTTTGTTTTCTCACTCAAATCAATACCCAAGGAGTGGCCCTTAACTACATATAAGTTCAGCATTAAAAATAACTGTTTTCTCTGAATCGCCAGCTAGATCAAGTGATTCTTTAATGATACTTCTTGTCAGCAAGAAAGATGACCCCAAGAATGAACAAAAATAGCCTCTGTTCAACAGCTGTGATATTTATAATTTATAAAGGGTGATCATGTCTCCTCAGATTATCTTGGGGTGTACACTGGAATGAGTGTCATTTGTGTATTTCGCACTTCTCAGAAAACAAAAGTTTTTTTTTCCATCCTGTTATTCTGATTAATACATTTCTCTTTCATATAAACAGTGTGATGTGAGACTTTATATTTGAGGAATGTGACCTTGAAACTCTATTGGCATGCATAGTTTTATAAATGTTTGACTAATCCTTAATAATTAATATCCCAAACAGGAAAATTTAATTCCCAAAGTAGGAAATAATCATTTTTCTCTGTTTTGAGTTTGTTTTCTTCATCGACAAAAATTGTAGATATTTATGGTGTACAACATATTGTTTTGAAATATATGTATGTTGGGGAATGGCTAAATGGAGCTAATTAACATTCATTAGCTTAGATATTTATCTTTTTTATTTTGAAGTGAGAGGCAATTTTCAGGCACTGAAAGAGGAAGAAGGGAAGCAAAGGTGGGAGTCAGGAAATGGGTAAGAGATTAATGACATCATCGAATTCTGCCAGTCTTTAATACACTTTTGGGCATCATGTTTGTTTGTTTTTGGTACTGGGGATTGAACCCAGGGCATTTAACCACTATGTCACGTCCCCAGCCTTTTTTTTTTGTAAATACGTTATCAATAGACAAGAGTCTCGCTGAGTTGCATAAGGCTATTTCTAAATTACAGAGGCTGGGTTTGAACTCGCGATCCTCCTGCCTCAGTTTCCGGAGCTCCTGGGATTACAGGCGTGCGCCACCATGCCCGGCTGGGCATCATATTTCTAATTTCCTCTCACCATTTTTTTCACTCTTTCCTTTATTACTTATTTTTTTCTTGGGCCGGGGTTAGTTGGAACCCGGAGGTCAGAGGGTGGATTGGTGTATGTAAACCGGTTCTGGGAGGCTGGTGGGAGGACTTGGAGAGAAGCACATTCTTTGGTGGTGGAGGATTTGGGGCCTTTGCATTGCACTTGTTCCTCACAACTCCTTTGTCCTGTATGCATTTTGCTTTTATCTGCATTACATCGAGCTTCCTTTTCCTTCTTGTGCAGCTCTATCACGTAGTATTTCTATACTACCTATTTATACAAACGTGTGCTAAAATACGCTCCAGCAAGTCCTGCAATTGTGATGTTGGGAAACTTTATTCGAGTCGAACCTGAGAGCGCTGGAGGAAAGGGTTTCTTCCATGCACAGGGCAAAATGCGAATGAATGAATAAGCAGAGGACTAGTGAAGGCGAGCGCGGTCCTGGGTTCTGCGTGCCACGTCCAGTACGAAGCACCCTTCGCCTCCGCAGCTGTCCGCCGACCGCGCTCGGATCAAGCCCTTACCGCGCCTCCGTCCTCGACTTCCCGCGGGCGCACGTTTTAGTTTTACGTCCCCTTGCTCCCAGAGTCGGGAGCGTCTCCTCTCGTGTCTACGTCTCCATCCAGTCCCAGAGACCCGCCTGATCCAGTCCCAGAGACCCGCCCGACCCAGCCCGCTCTGGGATACCGGGGTTCCCGACAGCCCGCGGCCCCGCCCCTCCGGCCTCGGCGCACCTGGCTCGGCCCCGCCCGCGCGCACTCCTTCCCGGCCCGCGTCACCGCCGAGTCGCCGTGGACGCGCCTCACGCGAGGGCGCCGCTCATCCCGCGCCCCGCCCGCCCGTCCGCCAGCGGCGTCGCCCGCGGCCGGCCGCCCGCGCCCCGCCGCCCCGCCAGCCCCGCGCCCGCGGCCCGCCCCCGTCCCGCTGCACTGTGGGTAGGCGGTGGCGGCGTCCGCGCGGAGGCCGGGCGGCGAAGCGAGGCCGCGCGCCGAAGATGGCTGAGAAGCAGAAGCACGACGGGCGGGTGAAGATCGGGCACTACGTGCTGGGGGACACGCTGGGCGTCGGCACCTTCGGCAAAGTGAAGAGTTGAGTGCGCGCCGAGGCCGGGCGGGCGGGCGGCAGGTGGAGCGGCCGCGCGGAGCCCCGGGCTGCGGGCGGGGCGCGGGCGTCCCGGGCTCCAGGTGTTGCGCTCGCCCGCCTCTGCGGGGGCCGGGGCCGGGCACCTTGCGCCTTTCGGCGCCTCCGCGTCCTCCTCTGCAGAACTCGGAGACTGGGGACCGGGTCGGCGCGGTGCCTCGGGCGCGCGGCCCGAGGGAAGGGTTGGGAATAATGCACGCTACCGAAGGATGGGCGAGTCGCCGTTGCGCGCCGGCGGCTCTGGTGGCGTTATGTGAGGTCCTGTCTTACCTCCCAGCGGCTTGGTCCAGATGTTAGCCTCACCTTAAAGGCGAGAGAACCGGGACCCCTGGAGGTTCAGTGACACGCCCAAGGTCAAGAGCAGTTGGCAGATCCAGGATGAGGTTAAGATGTCCTCCAATTCTGGCCTTGCAGGGAGGTCCCTGCCTTCTCCGGATTCTTTCGTGTGCCAGCACGCTCGGTTGGTGGAGCTGACCATTTTGGGGGGCCGAGCCAGGGACCAGGAGGTAGTAGTGGGCTTTCTGCTGGATGTGTGAAATGCTGAAATGCAGCCGGCTTGGGCCGGGGTTAGTTGGGACCCGGAGGTCAGAGGGTGGATTGGTGTGTGTAAAACGGTTCTGGGAGGCTGGTGGGAGGTCGGGGAGAGAAACACGTTCCTTCGTGGTGGAGGATTTGGGGCTGAGGAAGGCAGAACTGCTAAGGCGTATGCTGCTGAGGTCTGTTTTCTTGGAGCTGGGATCCTATTTTGGGTGTAGAAAAACACACTTGCTTTTGAAATGTTATACAGCACTTCTTACTAGTTAAGTATTAAACTTTCCTCTGTTATTTGTTAATAAGTCACATGGGATTTAATTAACCTGCCCTCTCTCCAAAACTAGAGCTTGCTTATTAAAAATACTCTGTTGTAAATCCAGAATAATAAAGTGAAGCATTGGCTTTTTATTTTTTTGCTGAATAAGTGCTGGGTAGGCTGGCTACAGATTCTATTCTGAGTTCTTATAAAATTCACATTTTAACCTCACTTGAAGACTCTTGTTAATTCCAGTGGCAAGGATCGGTGCCTGTTGTCTTCCACATGTGTGATATCCACTCATTTGATCAAAAACAAAAAAATAAACAACAAAAAAACCCCAACTATTGAGCATTTACAGCATGATAAACACCAGTCCAGGCAATGGGAATACAGCAAGGAACAAAATCAGATCTTACATGGAGGGTACTTTCATGTAAGGTAGAGTAAGACAAGTAATACATATTTAGAATATGTAAATAATACATATTAGAATATTATGTAAATTTTATGTTTCACACTATTGAGAAAAGTGAATCAGGGAAGGGAGGATGGGGAGTTTTGTGAGGTTGGCAGTTTTCAATAAGGTGGTCAGGCAAGGCCTCACAGACTACGTGGTTTTTGTGTAAAGACCTAAAAAGTTTTTAAAATTCTTTGAAGTTTTGGAAGGCTGTGAAGTCCTGGATTACTTTTGAAAGATCTTATAAGCAGAATGGATAATTAGCATATATTTAGAATGAATCTAGGAAGAGCCAGGGATTGGGTTAGAGATTGGATTAGTGCCTGTTATGTTACTTGTCATTTAATATCATTGCCGAGGATGGTTGTGTTATGACATAGAATTACTCAAGATAAAACAGTCATTTGGACATGTATACTCATGAAGTTACATAACTTAATCGCACATCCTTTCAAATGGTGTTAAAACTCTTTTGTTTGTCTTTTAAAATTCTACTACTACTGTAATCTAATCTGCATGCAGAGTAGAATACCCATCAGAACAGTCAGCCATTGTAAAGGACATCATTGAGCTGCTTCCAGGTACTGGCTTCTTAAAATGTGATCTTGAGGGAACTTGAATTTATGAGAAATGTTTTTCCTGGAGAGCCCCTGTTGAGTTGGAAGTTGTTTTCCTAACATTGTGTTAGATTTTCTTTAAAAAGATATTGTGGCTTCTCACTGTAATCAATGTAGTAGTTTTTTGAATTTTAAATTGTAGAAATTGCTGCAACCTAAAGTTATTAATTTAATTCAAGGGCAGGTGAAACAAAAACACATGCATTTTTTTAAACAGCCTTATTGATTGTGTATATATATATTTAAATAAAATTCACCCATTCTAAGTACAGAGTTCAACATTTTTGGGTAATTTTACCAGATGCTGCAACCATCATTATAGATCAGTTGTAGAACATTATAGAACAGCACAGTAAGATCCCTTATATATACTTACAGTTAATCTCATTCCTACTCTTAGCCACAGGAAACTTACTCTGTTTTCTGTCTGTGTAAATTTGCTTTTTCTAGATTCTTATAATTGGGGTTATTCAATATGGAGTCTCATTTGTAGCTTCTTTATCAGTTCTTGGGTGACATGTCATTAGTTTTTTCCTTTTTATTGTTGAATAGTATTCTGTTTAATGGATATGCCATATCTTGTCCATATATACACCAGTTGACAATGGATATTGTGTTAAGTTGTGGGCTATTACAAATAATGATACCATGAATATTAACATGGAAGCCTGTATGTGGACACTTTTTCTTATACCTAGAAGTAGAATTGGTGGGTTATATCTTAGTTTTATCTTTAATATTTTGAGACCCTGCCAAACTTTTCCAGAATGGTTATACCATTTTATAGTCCCACCAACAATGTATTAGAGTTCTCTTTTCTTCATATCTTTGGGTGTGAAATGGTCCTAGTGAGTATGAAATGGTATGTCATTGAGGCTTTAATTTTACAGTTTCCCAGTGACTGATGTTGTTGAACACATTTTCATGTACTCATTTATAATATCTTCTTTGGTGAAATGTCTGTGTATCTTTGCTCATTTTTTTATGATTGGGTTGTGCTATGGTTGAATATTATTTGCCTCCTCTGAAACTCATGTTAAAATCTGATTCCCAGTGTAACTGAATTGAGAGGTAATCTAGATGATTAGATCATTAAGAGGAATTAACTAATGCCTTTCTCTTGAGCATGGGTTAGTTATTATAAAGTGGGGCTGCCCTTGTGTTTTTGTCTCTTTCCCATTCGATTGTTTGCCCTTCTTATTTTCTGCTTTGAGATGAAGCAGTATGAGATCCTCACCAGAAACTGGCAGATGCTGACACCATACTTTAGATTTCCCAGCCAGTAGCCAAAATAAACTTTTCATTATAAGTTATTCAGTCTCAGGTATTCTGTTATAGCAACCAAAAATGAAGTAAGACAGGCTGTTTGTCATCTTATAAGTTGAACTGAAATAATTAAAAAAAATTCTAGATACAAATTTTTATTGGACATGTTTTGTACATAATTCCTCCCAGTCTTTTGTTTAAAGGTTTTTTCATTTTTAATGGCATCTTTTGAAGTATAAAAGTTATGAATTTTCATGAGGTCAAATTTATTAATTTCTTTATGAACATGCTTTTAGTGTCATAGTTAAGACATCTTTGCTTAGCCCAAGATCTCAAAGATTTATGGTTAGTTATGTTTTGTTGTAAATATTTTATTGTTTTAGTTTTTAAGAACCTTTTGAAGTTAATTCTTCCGTCTGACGTGAGATGAAGTTAAATGCCAACTTTTTTCCATGTGTATATTCAGTTGTTCCAGCACCTTTTGTTGAAAGCACATGTATTTTTAATTGTTATAGATTTAGATTTTGTTAAATCAATTTCTACTAAAAACCTTAACAGTAGATGATTTAATTTTATGTGGCTTTAAAAACATGGAAATAGAGGAGAGTGGAGCATTTTATGTGCTGTCTTAACTGATATGCTAATTGAAAATTTAACTTCAGTTGAGTGTACCAATTTATGGACCAAAGTTAGGCATAATAATCAAAGATTGGAAATGGCATACTTCTTACTTATTAGCACTAAATTCAGCTTATTTTAAAGAAGTGTATGCTTGATAGATTGGTAAAGCCTTATTTAAAATGTTTAAGTTGATTTTTTTCTTCATTGGGCTATTGTATTGATAGGTTTCATATAATGAAAATATTATATAGATTGAAAATAATGCTTCTTATTTAAAACTTTCCCCCTAAATTTATGTTTTCATTTTATCTGGGTACCATAGAATTGCTCTTTAGAAGTCTTATGGTTAGACTTGTTCGGTCGGTTCTCATCTGTTATGGTCTGGATGTGAGGTGTCCTCCAAAAACTCCTGGTAGTGCAGTAATATTCAAAGGTGAAATGATTAGATTATTCGAACTGTAAACTAGTTGGTCCATTTTAGTTTGAATGGACTAGCTGGCTGGTAACTGTAAGCAGGTGGAAGCAGGTGGAGCGTGACAGGTGTTGGACCACTGATGGTGTGCCCTGGTAGGGTGCATCTTCCCTGAGGCCCCTTCCTCTCTCTCTCTGCTTCCTGGCCACCATGGGTTTCGTAGCTTTCTTTCACCATGACCTTCCTCCATGATGCTCTGCCTCACCTTGGGCCTAGAACAATGGAGTCAGCTGACCATGGACTGAACCTCTGAAACCATAAACCCATAAAAAACTTTTCTTCCTCTAAGTTGTTCTTAGCAGGTATTTAACTTTCGTAGCAATGAAAAACTGATTAACACATAACCCAGTTTAACTAAAGGTGATAGAAATTCTAGAACAATAGATCTGTTGTTTGTGTTATAGAAAGACTAGTTAAAGAAAAAAATTACATTTATAATGTCAGTTATTTTAAAAGAAGCTTGCATTTTTGCAAGGTAAGAACTGATAGGTGTGGTTTATGATTATTCTTCATCAGAATTTGTCATCAAGGGCTGGGGATGTGGCTCAAGCGGTAGCGCGCTCTCCTGGCATGTGTGCGGCCCGGGTTCGATCCTCAGCACCACATACAAACAAAGATGTTGTGTCCGCCGAAAACTAAAAAATAAATATTTAAATTCTCTCTCTCTCTCTCTTATAAAAAAAAAAAAAGAATTGGTCATCAAAAGATACGTTGAAACCATGTTAGTCTCTTTACAGCCAGAAAAGAAAAGTCTTCTGGAGGAAATTAGATTTTGTTTTTCATATAGTTACATGAATGAGCCACAGATTTGACTTTTAGTAGGTATTTAGAAGTTATCCAGTTATTTTTGAGATAACAGGAAGGATTAACAAATGGGAAATATGAACTTTTTATTTATTTGTTCTTCACAAGCAGCATTACCTTTTATGAAAATATCCAGTCCTGAATGATAAATTGAATTTTGGAAAATTTATCTGGTTAGTTAGTGTAACTAAGAGTTATATCTTTGGTAGTTAGGTTTTTTCCTGAGAGTTGTTTTTGACTCCCATGTTAGTGTGAAAGTCCCTGAATAGTTTGATCTCTCTGGCCCTTGTGGTCTTCCTCTTCTAAAGGAAAAATTAAAACACACAATGTGTGAGAACCCTTAAGCTTCATCATTGTAAGAACCCTTAAGCTTCATCATTGTAATTTTTTTTTTAAGATTGAGTATTAAAAAATGGATGTATTTAGTTCA